TAGAAAGTCATCTTCATCAGAAGTGTGATTCATTGAGAGGATTATTTAGCTTCCCAGAACACAAGGGCTGAGAGACTAAGCATTCTAGCCACACACAATCCAAGTAATTCCCAATTACATACCATAACAATTTCTGTGTTCTTTTGAATTAGGAAATACAAAACCCAACCCCCTGTATTTTTCAATAAAGATAACATGAGATGATGCAGTGAAACTTCAAAGGGAAGAGAAATATGTCTTCAAATTAAAGCAATCTTGTTTTAAATCTTGATTGTATCATTAAATAACTGTGTGCCCTGAAGATTGTTATTTTTTTTATCTGTAAAATAAGTATAAGGGCCAGGGTTGTGGATCAGTGGTAGAGTGCTTGCCTGGCATGTGTGAGGCACTAGGTTCCATCCCAGGCATCAGATAAAAATAAACAAATGAAATAAAGGTATTAAAATATAAGTACATAAATATTTATTTCATGAAATTATTGTGGATTAAATATCATAATGTGTAAAAAAATGAACACAGTTCTTAAAACATAGTAGGTAACTAATGGTATATTATAGACACACAATTGCTCATAACAGTGAAGACATCAATCAATATAGGAAACAATTTTTAAATTTGCATTATCAAGATTCTAAAAGTATTTCCATTTAAGTAGAAATAATACTAATTTATTTAAAATAAGTTGAAAATCATATTTATGAAACAAATAATTATCCAAATGAATAGTTATACAAAATTTGTAAAAGTTATAAAAACTTCCCAGCCCTGTAACAGAGATCAAGGTATCAGGTGTGCTATAACAACTGTTTTAAAATTTAAAAGTACTAGGCTGGGATTGTAGTTCAGTGGCAGAGCACTTGCCTAACATGTGTGAGGCACTGGGTTCAATCTTCAGCATCACATAAAAATAAACAAATAAAATAAAGGCATCTATCCATCTATAACTTCAGAAAAAAATTAAAAGTACTATTTAACTACAATAATATCAATAATAATAATAATAATAATAATAATAAAGCAATTAAGTATTCTGAAGTTAATTTTGATAGCTTACAGGAAAATTGTGGACAAATTAATTGATAAAATTTTTTTCTGTTATTGGCAAAAATGAGAAAATATGGCTTTGTGATATTATTAGTAATAGTTTTCATTACGTCTGTGCTATCTGGGAAAGGAGAATATAAATCACTATGAGCTTATGGTTTGTTATATTGCTACTGTACAAAATAGAAAAAAAATTTTCCCTTGAAATTTTCATTTTAATATAATGTTGTTTCAAGAAAAAAAATCAACTTTTTATAAATTCCATGACCTCCCTATATCTATTAGATATTTCATTCTATAATATGATTCAGGGCTGAAGGGAAACCTAAAATTTGGGTTATTGCCAAAAAAGCTAACTAGTTAAGAAAACACACCACCAGAGATTCTTAATAGTTCAGATTTTCACTGTTTTTGTTTAATATACTATAAATATATATGTATAAATATATGCATATATATAAATATATTTACTGTTTTATTTGTACATACATACATACATACATTGACTGTTTTATGTAGGAAAAATAATGTGAAATTTTTGAAGAAGATATACTTCACCAAGCTAAATATATCAAAATAATTCCTGTAAGAGAAAACTTAAGAAAGTCTTAACTAAATATGAAATAAAAGTTGATCTTTATTCTGTTTGTAACAGTTAGTGCATCCTTAGAAGAGTGAGGTCAATGTCTTCAGGATCATTTATAAATATTCCTCATATTGAAATAGATGAATTCACAATAGCTACACTGTGGTACCAACTTAGATGCCTATCAACAGAGGAATGTATAAAGAAACTGTGGTATATATATACAATGGAATATTACTCAGCATTAAAAGAGAATAAAATTATAGCATTTGCAGATAAATGGATGGAATTGGAGAATATTATGCTAAGTGAAGCAAGACAATTCCCAAAAAAGTAAAGGCTGAATGTTTTCTCTGATTAGTGGATGCTGATTTATGATGGGAGGGACATGGGAAAAATGGAGGAATTTTGGACTGGGCAAAGGGGAGAGTGGGGACGATTTGGGGGGTTAGAAAAGATGGTGGGATGAGATGGACACCATTACCCTAGTATATGCATGATTGTGTGAATCGTGAGTCTCTATACTGTGTACAACCAGAGAATTGAAATATTGCCCTCCATTTGTGTAGGATGAATTGAAATGCATTCTGCTATCATGTACAACTGAGTAGAACAACAACAACAAAAACAAAATAAATAGTATTCCATTGTCATTGTGTATGGCAGATTTCAGAGTATGAGACCTGGTATATTAGCAATGTTACTTTCTTTGTTCAAGTTGAATAATTTCTCATAGATTGTTTCCTTATCTGTAAAGCTGTGAAATGTAATCATATGAAAGGCACATACCCTTGATAGTTAGCCTCAGGGGGTACCAGGTAGCTTTCCTTGTTTGGATAATATGTACATCCTCTTTACTGGAATTATATCTTAGGAGAGGTTTTACCAAGGTTATCTGTTCAATTCATGTGGCATTGGTGGGGGGAACTGATGAAATTTTGGTGTAGTTGAATAGAGGTATGTGTTAGTTAACATCTGTTGTTTGGTTTTCTCAATCACTAAATGAAAATACAAGGGACCATAAGAGAAGCTGTTAAGCTGTGGTAACAAACAAGTCTCAAGCCTCAGAGGCTTATAACCATCAATATTTATTTCTCACTCAGGCTATATGTCCACTGTGATTCACCTGTGGTCCTGTTCATGTCACCCTCACTCTAAAAGTAAAATAATTGAGTAAACTTTCAGCACTATTGGTCTTTTGGCAGAAAGACAAAAGAGACACCATCAACTACAATAACACTAAACCTTCTGCTTGGTAGTGACATGTGTCACTTATTTTCCGGAAGCCAAAGTTTATCCCAGTACACAGCTGAATTCAACAGGTCAGGGATGTACAATCCTGCAGAAAAGAGCATTATAGGTAATATGACCAAGTTAGAAGTTAGTGGTGTGAGAAGTGAGAAGTATAATTCCCGGACAGGAATGAGAGGACTGACATGGAGCAAAATAAGACATACCCTTATCTGTTGATACTAATTATAGAATTTTTGCAAAGATGAAATGAGAGTAAATTCTTTAAAATTATGTTTTCATTACTTTGTTAATACCTGGGTTAGACAGCTTTTCAAACTTAACAAATATCTGAGATAATCAGCTTACACACAGAAAAGGTTGACTGGGCTCACAGTGTGGGAAGTTTCAGCCCAGGGTCAGCTGACCTCATTACTTTTGGACTAGTGGCATGGCAGCAAGCTACTTGCACCGTGGCATCCTGGAAGCAAAGAGAGAAGAAGAAGGCAATGGAATCCCACCATTCCCTTCAAGGGCATGTTTCCAGTATCCTAAATATTCTCCCACCAGGCCGTACCTTTTAAATTTTCCACCACCTGCAGCTAGTGCCACAGGCTGAGGACCAAACCTTAACACATAAACCTTTAAGATCCAAACCATTGCAATACCTAGTAAGGATCAAAGGAGATGGGGCTGCATTTCCTAAGATGTGTAGGTCTAAATCAGAAGAGATCTGAATGGATAGTGTAGAAGACCAACTAAACACATTAAGAAAAGGGTTGGATATCTACTACTGGAATATTCTTGAATATATTCATGAAATATATGTAAACAACCTAGTGGAATACAAATTTATTTGATTCTCCCAATGTTCACATTTAGTCTTTTGGGCCCTTTTCACTGGAACACTAGAGATTTACTAAAAGAGGGTATATTCTAAGTCTAGGATAATATTTCTTAAATAAGGGCAAGGTTACTCAAGTGTAATAAAAAAATTATTACATTTGATGACTCCTAGATAAATATCTACATTACTGCGTATTTGTACCACAAGTTGGAATTAAGCTGAATCTTTACACTTGATAAGTACACAGGTGCGGCAGGGACTATTAGCTGGGGAATCTGTTTTTTTTTTTTTTTTTTCTCAGTTTTAGATTTGTCCTTTCATCTTCAGTTTTCTCATATACAAAATAAAGGCAGGGGGTAATTGGATCTCTTGGTCCTTTCTTCTAATCTTATTACTTGATAAATATATTCTTCCTGTCCTTTAAAAGAATATGTGCAGAGGATGAGTCATTCACTCGTGATTTGATGATCATGTAATCTTTGACAAAATTCTTGGAATAAGATATTCTGGTTTTTTTTCCCCATTTAAACTGAAAGAACAGGAACATGAGAGTGTATAATGCTTATACTTTTTTTTTTCCTTCAAATATTTCTTCCTGCATCTTTCCTTAATATGTGTGTGTGTGTATGTGTGTGTGTGTGTGTGTGTGTGTATGTGTGTGTGTGTGTGTGTGTGTGTGTGTACCGGGGATTGAACTCAGAAGCATTCAACCAGTAAACCACATCCCAGTCCTATTTTATATTTTATTTGGAGACAGGATCTCACTGAGTTGTTTAGAACCTTACTTTTGCTGAGGCTGGCTTTGAACTCATGATCCTCCTGCCTCAGCCTCCTGAGTTGTTGGGATTACAGGCCACCGTACCCGGCCCCCTTATTCTTTTATATAAATGCATTTTTATATATTCTACTAGGCTATTATGTCCTTTCCACTAATTTTTACTTTTTGTTTTAGGGTTTGGTAGTCTAAGGGTACTACACAAATCTAGGGGACACCATTCATATTTTTAGCCTGTAGTTTTTGTGAATTTTAATAGCAATGCGAGAGTAAAGATTCACTTTAACATTGAAATCAATATTGCACACTATATTTTTGGCACCAAATTCTTAATTTTCAAATATTTTTATATCAGATACCTCATAAGATAAAGGCACTAGTCTTACTGGAAGCAACATTTCTGTAATGTTCTTTCCCCTCTTACTATTTCTTTATGCAATTAAAATAATCTTAAACTATTCTTTATATAAACTTTTTGATTAAAATTTCTATCACCCCAATTTTTTTTAATTATTTAGTGTTGATAAAGCAGATGATGAAGATGATGAAGATTTAACAGTGAACAAAACATGGGTCTTGGCACCAAAAATTCATGAAGGAGATATCACACAGATTCTCAACTCATTGCTTCAGGGCTATGACAATAAACTTCGTCCAGACATAGGAGGTAAGTTTGAGTTTTCTTTCAGGGATTTTGATGAGTATGAAAAATATCTTCACTGATGCCATTTCAAATATTTATCTCATATTCTTTTGAGTATCTCCTGTATGTCAGAGGCCATGTTGAGTTTGAAGGTTATTGGTTGAAATAGTCACTGTTCAGAAGTTTACAGTCTGGGGTAAGACAAAAGACAAACAGTTACAACATAATTATTTTATAACTACTATCTTAAAAGTGCTACTTCACAGTTATGATAAAACTTTCTGAAATACTGAGCAGTATTTCATAAAAGAGTCAATGTTTGAAAATAATTGAGAATTCTGGTTTTATGCCAATTCTGTTTTTGTTGTGGGTTTCTTTGTTTGTTTGTTCTTGTTTTGTTGGTACTGACAATTGAACCCCAGAGTGCTTTGCCACTGAGCTATTACCCCAAACCTTTTTAAGTTTTATGTTGACACAGGGCCTGTTGAGTTCCTGGAATTACAAGAATGTGCCACCACACCCAGATTCCATGCCCTTTTGATTAACCTTGTCTTGAGGACACCTTAACTGGAAGTAGTCAACTAGTTATTCAAGAGACTAACTAGTTATTACTCTCATTTCATTGTAAAAATTTTGTAAAAATTTTATAACATAATTAACTTGTAAGTTTTCCTCTATAATGGTTTAAGATAGACAAACATAAATGAACAAAGATTTTCTTGAATTGGATTAAATTTGTAGTCAACAAAATAAAAATTGGAATCGTTACCATATTGAACTTTTGCCATGCCAAATTCCTGAACATTCTATTTTTTTTTCTAATTATAGATTTAATTTTCTAAATTATTTTCTCATTAATAGTGTTAGCATTTTTGTTATATTTAATTGTATATAGTTGGAGGTTGATTCAAGAATGAACGGGTTCTTTAAAAAAGGTATATTCTAATATTTAGTTTTTAGTATGTACCAACATAGTAGACTATTTTCATATTTACTCTGATCTCAAGCCTTGCTAAATTTATTAATTTTAATTACTTATTATTGGGTTCCTCTGGATTTTGTTTTTTCAATTGGGAATTGAACCTAGAAGTGTTCTTCTTCTGATTTACAACCCAGCTCTTTTTAAAATTTTATTTTGAGATAGGCTCTTGCTAAGTTTCCCAGGCTAGCCTTGAACTTGTGAACCTCTGCTTCAGGCTTCAAACCTCCAGGGTTGCTGAGATTATAGGCCTGTGCTACATTGCCTAGCGCATCCACTGAACTTTTTGTAAGGTAGAAAATAGTGACTATTTTTGCAAGTAGTGAATGTTTTCCTTCTTTATTTCAAAAATCATACATTTTCATACCATACTGTTCTGAGTAAGATTAAAGTAGAAGGTTGAATATTTCTATTTCTTATATCAGAGAAAGAAATTCATATTTTACTAGTCAGTATGATGTTTGCTCTGGGCTTCTTTTTTAAACCATCCTCTGGTGATTACCTTCTGTTCTTATTTTGTTAGACATCCCCAACCCTCATGTTTCAAATATTTTCTGTGCAAGGATTGAAGTAATCATATTGGTCATATTTTGCTTTTTATTTCTATTTACTGTTCATGAAATAATTTTTCAATTTTTTAAAATTTTCATTCCTTTTGTAAATGACGTTTGATTCTGATATAGTAACTTTTAAAATTTATCAATAGGTTCAATTTGGTAATATTTTGCTTTGAAATTCTGTATGCTCCTGAGGAATATGATATTACTAGTGAGTGTTTCCTCCTTTTTATCTCTGAGTTTATCTAAGATGGATACTATTTCTTCCTTAAATATTTAAAAGAATTCTGGTTTTGTGCCAATTCTGGTTTGGTCGTGGGTTTCTTTGTTTGTTTGTTCTTGTTTTTTTGGTATTGAAAATTAGTCATGTTGGCTTAGAGGGATTTGGGGGGAAGATTTTTAACAGTTCATTATTTTAAATATATATAAAATGTGTGAGCTTAATATTTTTCTTTTTTCAGGTTCAACAAGTTAAACTTTATAAGAAATTTAACCTAAAATTTTCAAATTTACTAGTATTGAATAGTTACATTATTTTAAGGACATATTTAATCTTATGTTGAGTTTTTTTTCTTTGTTATTTGTTATTAGTAATCTGTTCCATCAATTGTGAATTAATCTTGATTTTTTTCTAATTTTATTAGTATTTTTCACAGAAATAAATTTAGACTTTTTCAATTTCCTGTGTTAAACAATTATCTTAAGTTTCATTGTTTTATAATGTCTGGTTTATTATTCGAATCTCTTTTCATTTAATTTTCTGTTCCACTAGATTGCTTAAATCATTTTATTTGAAAATAAATTTTACACTGAGTAATGTAGTATCTGTACATGAACTTTAATTTTTCTGTTTTTTTTAATGACTATAATAATTTCAAAGAGTACTGGCCAGTTGAGTGGCTCTGAATTTGAGTTTTTCTGATGTTTTTATTATGAGGATGAGGTTAGGCATTTTAACAAAAATACCACAGTGATATTCTCCCCTTTCAGTGTGTTACTGCAGGAAATCCATGTGTAAATATATTTTTTACTCCTTGTGACGTTAATTTGATTATGTGTTTATGGCTTCTTTTGTATTTCTCTACTGGAAATACTTATTTTCACCTCTTTGATTTTTAAATATGTTTAGAGGAGAAACTGTGGTGCAAATGTTTCTCAGTGTACTCTTGGCCACTGCTTGAGTGTTCACCAGTGTTTCTTATATGTGACATTTATTACTGTGTTGTTTGCCATCATTGTATTAATTGTACTTCTACCAGAAGGAAGAACTGTACTTTCTGTTCCATTTACTTATTTGCATCATTACAAACTCATGAACACTTATTTTGTAATTTATACACCATTAATCTATTTATGTGGTTATATGTTATTAGAGATTTAGCCTCTGGAGCCTCCTAATATTTAGTTCCTAGGTCCTCGCACACATCCTATTATTTGCTAAGCTCCTGCTGTCTTTCAGTACATCAGACCCTCCAGATTTATCTTGACCCATCAATATAGCTCACTATTTCTCCTAGAATACTTAGACTTCCCCCAACCCTACCACCTTTTAAGAATGATGTTTGGAATTCAAGATCTAAGAGTTTATTTCACTCATTAAAACTGATGTCATTGCTTTGTGACCCTCTCAGTGGACAGAATTGTGTGATAAAATGTGCTCTACACACTAAGAGGCATCTCTGTTTCTCTTTTCTTTGAATGTATACTATGAATCATGAATTTGAACTGGTAGCTCTGATTCCATTTCACACCACAGGATTCATTCCAGCCTTTATCATTTCCATATTTGTAACTCCCCTTTTCAGCATGAGAACTTGACTCTCATGTATCCTATTTGCTCAATTCTAGTAAATACATAATGTAGTTTTAGAACTTCATATATCCCTTTATATCATACATATTTATGAAAACAAGTTAACTAATGAATAAAATATTTATGTACAATTGTTTTTATCTTTTGTTTTATAGAATATAGTCAGTATACTGTTCCCCAAATTTAATCAGGTTAGTCTTCCTTCAACCTTCCTTCCAGTGTTATTATGTTCTTCATTTTTAACACAGTTTGATCTGAGTGTTACTGGTGATATTTAATTTTCAGCTCATCCCACATTGTGGTTATTTTAAATTATTTTTGTATGCATGGGGAATTATCATGGTTTTTATAGTCAGAATCATAAGTGAATATATAATTTGTGCAATGTCTCTGTCCTAACTTACCTTCTACCTTGTTTCTATTTCTATAATGAGCTAACTAAACTAAGGTCATTAGTTTGCACTCTCTGTATTCATTTGCACAAACAAGTAAATACAGTTATATTTTCTTATATACCCATTAGCTTACATGAAAGTCACTCTATTATTTTGAGCTCTGCTGGTGTTTACTTAGATCTTTATTTTCTTAGTATATGCATTGTAATCCCATATGGAATTATGATTTATTCAAACATTCTTCTGTGAATGATTGTGTCCAATAGCTTGCAAATACCAAGAATGTGTGTATATAAGTTTTAATATTGTTGGACACTTAATTCATGGTGAATTCCTAGACATTGGAAACGTGAAAATATATATTCATATTTAGTTTTTCTCAGATCAGTTGACAAATTATTCTCCCAAAGACATATGCCATTTTTAATTTCTATATGTAATATATGAGGATGCCTGTTTCCTAGCAGTCCCAACATCAGGACATATTATCTTAACCTTCAGTTTGGGCAATCCTAATAGCTGAGAAGTGGTTTCTCATTGCTGTTTTAATTTGTGTTTTCTCTAATTGTAAGTGAGAGAGAATGCTCTATGTTTGAATTCCAATTTAATATCACTGTTGGAAATTTTATGTTCACTTTTATTTCCTATTTTTCAATGGATATTTGAGTTTTTATTCACACACACACATACACACACACACACACACACAAATGGAATGCAGTGTGCTCCATAAAAGATGTTCATGTCCTAATCCCCAAAACCTGTGCATGTAGCTTTAGTTGGAAGGATGATCTTTGCAGATAAAATGGAATTAAGGACTTTGAGATTAGGAAATCTTTTGGAATTACCTAGAGGGTCCTAAATCCAACTACAAGAATCTTTATAGGATAGAATACATAAAGGTAGGAAACACATGCACAAAGACAGACATGTAGAGGAGGAAAAAGAGACATAAAAGTAGTCTGCAGAGAAATGAGGATTACTACAACTACCAGAAATTGGAATAGATTCTCCCCAAAAGTTTCCAGAGGGATTGCAAACCTTGATTTTTGGTTTGGTGTCCAGAACTATGAAATAACAAATCAGTGTAGTTTTAAGCTACCAATTTTTGATAATTCTCAACCATAGCCCTAGAAAACTAATTCAGTATTGCTTGCCCTTATTTTGTGATATATTATGCAAATATTTTCCATCAGTTTTTCAGTTGTCCTTTGTTTTTGTTTATAGAAGATTTTTGTTTATTTCTTCTTATTATATATTCAGACTTGTCAATCTTTTCT